TCTATTTTTACTAGAGATGGCCTTTCACCATGTTGCCCAGGCTGGTCTCGAATTCCTGGGCCCAAGACGTGACGTCCACCCGCCTTGGCCTCCGAAAGTGCTAGGATTACAGGCGTGAGCCACTGCACCCGGCCATGGCTAGTTATTTTAATCAAAACAAATTTAAAACCAAATTAGGTATAAACTGAAAAAACAGATTTTATTAGTCTCTAATGAAAACTTCCAAAAGAAACCTATGGGGATCCCCCCAACCCCCCCAAGACAGAATCTTGCTCTGTCGCCTAGGCTAGAGTGCAGTGGTGTGATCTCAGTTCACCACAATGTCCGCCTCCCAGGTTCAAACAATTCTCCTGCCTCAGCCTCCCGAGTAGCTGGGATTACAGGCATGCGCCACCATGCCTGGCTAATTTTTGTATTTTTAGTAGAGATGGGGTTTCATCGTGTTGGTCAGGCTGGTCTCGAACTTCTGACCTCAAGTGATCCACCTGACTCGGCCTCTCAAAGTGCTGGGATTACAGGCGTGAGCCAACACGCCAGGCCTGTTTTACTCTTTACATCATATAGTATCTGTAGTCAGAATTTAAAATTTGCTCAATGTGAAAAATAATGATATGCCAAAAATGCATAAAGATTTAGCCTTAGAAAGGAGATTAAAACAAGGTTTTCAAAAGCATGGATTTATTCTAAATACATTAAAAAAAAAAAAAACCTAGTTATAGTGTTACCTTGCAAAACATCTAATACAAATTTCCTTAACACTAACCTTTTATGTTTCATGATCTAATGTCCGTTAACTTTAAAGATAAGAACCTGATTTATAGTTTCTTTTCTAAACACTCAATGCAGATAAACAATCTACTTTAACTTCTTGCCTTCAAGCAATGTTATGTTCTACTTTTCATAACCCATTTGTAAAGATTTCCAGGAAGTAGCAATCTGGTAGCAATTTTACTGGTGTCTAAACTCAATGTCAGACACTGACATGACTATGTATCAGCTTAATACTTCAGAAAAGTATGGGCCAAACACTTGGTAACGACTACAGGAATTGCAAATATAGATCTCAGGAGGAAATTATAAGCTGATAGGGCAGAAATATGAAATGGTTTGCAACATATTCTAACTCCAGTTTTGCGGTGGCTGTTGCCTGAATTGTGTTGAGGATTCTGAGGATGGTGTTAATGCTCTGGGGGAGAGTATATGCTATGCGCAGTCTAAAAGCCATGACTGCCATGGGCAAGCAGGAGGAGAGGCTGACCTGCCAGCTTTGTTCTAGGTTTGGGGTCTTACAGTGGCAAAAGTCACAAGTCCCAAGTCTCAGTGTGGGGGTCCCACATTCTCTTATCTCCCGCCTCTGGCTGTGCCTGCTTCATCCTCTGTGAAAACTGGATCCCCCATTCCACTCCCACTGCCTCTCCGAGCACGTGGCAGGAGATGCCACCCTCACAGCTCCCGAGTTTACTGTTGGCTGCACAAGTAAGTAGCAAAGACTAAGTAATGGTTTTCATTTGGAAAGAACAAAAATGGTCTCTATTGAAGCATGAAGGGAATTTATTGGAGGATGGTGAGAATCAACAGGAAGACTGGAGGAGCCCACTCAGGCAGGAAGCAAGGAAGGCGAGACAAAGTCCAGATTCTGCCACGAGGATGGTATGCTCACGACCCAGGCACCACCAGCACTGGAGTCCTCTACCCCTGGACACTCTTAATTCCACCATGGCCACCATGAATAATCACTAACCGAGTCACTTTTATGTTACTCCTCAAAATTCAAACTTTCAGCCTGGAGCCTGGGATTAGCAGTACTTTGATCATAGGCCTACGTGCTACCTATTGAAGGAGTAATTCTCAGAGAAGAGGAACTTGAGTTAAACAGGTACCCTCAAGAGGTGTCCACTACTGGCTGTATTCTACTCGGCAGAGGGCATGTGAGAGAATGTAAGGTGCTCATCTGGCCTAGAAACTGCTGTCACCAGAGTGAGAAACCAAGCTGAGCCTATGATAGTCTGAAGCTGTGGGTAAAGCTACCTAGGAATAAGCAGAGTGGTACCAGAATCTAGAGCTGAAACCAGGGACTTTGGTAGATAAAACAGGCCTGGGTCAAGCTGCAGAACTAGAAAGAACTGAAGTCAGAAATAAAACAAGAGATGTCCCCAAAGTAGATTCCAATAGCAAAGACTATACTCCCAGAAACTAGTTCTGGAGTGGAGAAGGCATACTCGGCACAGGGTTAAATTCTAAGACTGTAAACCAGGTAGTGAAGAAGTTAAAAGCTAGAGAGAGCAACAAAAGGGAGCAAGAAGATGGAGGTAGACTTGCTGAAGTTCATGTAAGATTGCCATATTTGACATTTATTAATTGCAAGACACATTCGATTGACATCTATTCATTGCAAGATATGTCCTTCTATATCCATTTATTTATTTATTTATTTAGAGACGGAGTTTTGCTCGTTCACCCAGGCTGGAATGAAGTGGCGTGATCTCAGCTCACTGCAACCTCTGTCCCTGGGGTTCAAGCGATTCTCCTGCCTCAGCCTCCGGGGTAGTTGGGATTACAGACGCATGCCACCACACCTGGCTAATTTTTGTATTTTTTTTTTAGTAGAGACGGGGTTTCATCACGTTGGCCAGGCTGGTCTCGAACTCTTGACCTCAGGTGATCCACCTATCTCAGCGTCCCAAAGTGCTAGGATTACAGGTGTGAGCCACTGCGCCTGGCCCTCTATATACATTTATTTAGGTCACTTAGACAGTCCTTTCCCAGTTGAGGGGAAATAAAACTGTAATATAGAAACCTCAGTCCTCAAGGCCATGAAGACATCAGGAGCATTGAGAACTTGATGAGTTGGTGCATTTCTCCACTGAGCTTGTCACAATAGGCCTAACACTCAAGGAGAAACACTTTCCTTTTTCCTGATCTTCTAAATTTATCCTTAGAGGGGTCCTCATATTCTTCCTAACTGGACATAGGAGCAGTCTTGGCCAGGTGGAGGTAGCAAAGCTAAGGTGGTGCAGATAATGTCAGGCACTGAACGGATTTGAGGAGGGTGGTGAGGGGATGGTTGTTAGAAAAGAGGCAATACATGCACCTTGTGTAGGGCTGTAGGCTTTTTTACTGTTACCAGGAAAAAATCATCATCATAGCCTCAGTGGCGGAAGCAGCAGCAGCAGCAGATCACTGATAGCACATAGGACAGGTTTATCCTAAACAAAAACATTTCCTGGTAGAATCACAGGTTCCAAGGTGGTACTGAGTGGGCCCTAGTTCAACTTTCAACCTTTCAAACTTCCAGCCAAATAATTTTAAGCATTAATCAACTTAAATGAAAACATTTTACTTTTATAGGGACATAACATATCTCATAAAGTTTGTTTGTTTAAAGCTTTCCCCTAGCTTTTTCCTCCAGCAGACTTTTCCAGGGGTTTCAAGACTTAAGTTCCTTATCACTCCCTAACACACATGTACATACCACACCTCTATGCTGTGCAGGAGGGAAAAGTAGGGGCAAGCTTATTTGTCCATTTCAGGATGAACAGATTAAAAGCAATTTTTGTTACATCAAACTCAGTGAGACTTTCCAGATTTTCTCTTCCTCATTAAAATTTTTTTTAAAAAAATATTCCTGGAAACAAGTGAGCCACTAAATGTTAAGACTGAAAACTTTCCAGGTTATTTACAGACTGAAGTTTGACATTGATGAATATACTAAAAAATAAATCAGGGAATGTGGTAATTAAAAAATAAAAATAAAAGCAAGGGCGAAGAGAGGCAAACTCAGTAAGTCAATGTAATCTATAACTTGTAGGTGACATTCTGACATACTCTCCCAACTTTAAAACTCCATATAGAACATCTTCAAAGCCACCTTACCCCTTAAACTGGGGCAAACTACTATTTAATTTCATTTATTATTTTAAAAAACATATTTTACTAGATAGGAGGTCTCCCATGTTGCCCAGGCTAGTCTCCAACTCCTGGGCTCAAGCGATCCTGCTGTCTTGGACTCCCAGAATACTGGGATTACACGTGTGAGCCACCGTGCCCGGCGTATTTCAGAGCTGGTTTTTAGACTGAGTGTTTAAGAAGACAAAGACATCTCTATTTAGTGAAGAAACTCAACAGCTCAAGGAATTTTCTACTTTAATAAAAGCTGAATATAGACCTACATAAAATTTTACAACCCTGAGACAGTCAAAGACAAATGAAGTTTTAGTAGCTAAAGAAAATACAGCACCGTTCCACATTATGTGTATCTTTAATGCCTACGCCTACCTTTCGTTCATTTAGTGAGCCGAAGAAAAAAATGTTCAAACCCTTATGTGCATTTCCTTAAGTTCCTAGAACACCGAAATACTGACACGTATGATTGTACTATTTCGTATCTGTCGATGATTCTGAATTTCACTAAAAACCGCAAAGGAAACCAATAGTCACACAACTATTCTGATAACCCCACCAAAGAGGAAATAAAGAAAGGAAGTTACTCCGAAAGTCTGACAAGGCAGAAGTGACTGCAGCAGAGGGGCCTCAACGGTCAGTTCATGAGGACCTTGATTAACGCCCCTACCCCATCTTTACGCCCCCACCCCATCATTCCGGGTCCTCCCCCTTCTTCAGAGACCGGCTACGAGGCTCATAGGAAAGGTGCGCGGCTTCAGACCGACACGATTCCAGCTTGGCTCCTCCACTTTCGGGGTCGCTGTTTCCACAGCTTTCGAGCAGGATAACCATACTTGTTGCACTTCCCTCACTGGGCTGCCGCCAGCATCATATAGACATACGCTGTCCCAACATAAGCCAAAGCCACCATTACTGAGATAGTCGCCAAACATAACTCAGCTTCGGTTCCCCTCCCGGCAAGGCTGGTTCGACCTACAGTTAACAGGAAGCTCCTGGGGGCAGGGACAGGATCCCTGCCTCGGAAGGAGGCCAGACGTGAACGTTGTTTGGACGGCATCTGGATGGTGACGAGGGTGTGAGTAACGCCCCCGGCTCACGCGGTTGGGCTGAGATTTTACTACCAACGACAAAGGGTGCGGAAGCATAGTGCTGAGAAGCAGCCAGCCAAAAACACTCAACCCCGTCCTCCCCCGCAAAAACAAGTCCCAAAGCCCTGGGCACTACGGAGAGCCGGGCCAAGGAAAAGAGAAAGGCAGAGGGGCGGAATCGGGGCGCCCCATTCAATCCCCGCGGCAGCCGAGCGTCGGTGGGTTCGCGGCTGGGAAGGGGCGCCGCGGGCCTG